ATTCGAACCCATGACCCTCGGATTGCGAGTCGAGCACCCTAACCACCTGGCCATGCTGAGCACCCCCCCCCAGTGGTACAGCGGTATGTCTGCGGACTTACAACGCTAGAATCCGGGTTTCGATACCCGTGATGGGCATAGCACAGATAACCCATTGTGTAGCTTTGTGCTTAATTACAAACAAACGTTTTTTGCACGCGGCGTGCTCTTAGAAATGTAATCTATAAATCACGTTCTTTGGATACTCATCTAGAATCCGGGTTTCGATACCCGTGATGGGCATAGCACAGATAACCCATTGTGTAGCTTTGAGTTTAATTACAAACAAACTTTTTTTGCACGCGGCGTGCTCTTAGAAATGTAATCTATAAATCACGTTCCTTGGATAATCATGACATGGTGGTAAGGGCGCACGGCTCGGGTTCGAATCTCTGGCACCGGACGTGCTCGCCTTTTCAAACGTGGAAGTGGGTCGTTATAATGTGACGATCAATCCCACTATTCGTTGGTATAAGAGTAGCTCAAGAGTTGGCGGCAGGTGATAATGACTAACTGCCTTCCCTCTAGTCTACCACTGCTAAATTAGGGACGGCTAAGTGCAGATGGCTTTACGCAAAACTAAAAAAAAAAAAAACCTAACTTTAAATAACAAAAAGTTTGTAAATGTTAAGGTCATCTACAACTTACATACATTTTTCTTTCAGAGGTGCGTCCGACCCTTTTATCAACGTTTGCAGAGCAGAACCTAAAACCTGGTGTCGACCTTTCGCTAAGCTGTTCTGCCTCCGGAAATCCCTTACCACAAATCACGTGGACTGTGGAGGAATTTGGCGTTCCAGAATCATCCAGAATTAGATTAGGAGACTATGTGACGTCCAAAGGGCAAGTAATGAGCTACGTCAACATCAGTGACGTAAGAGTGGGGGATGGGGGAGAATATTCATGTATGGCTACAAACATGGCAGGAATGACGAAACATTCTGCGAGCGTTAACGTCTATGGGCCTCCGGTAATTCGACCAGTGAAAAACATTTCTATTTTGGCTGGAGCCACCGTGACGTTACGATGTCCAGTAGCAGGATATCCAATAAGTTCGATGATGTGGACACGAGGTCAGTCTTCTTATTTTAATTATTGTCATATTATCTTTGTACTCCGGGTTCGGAGTTCGTTTTTATTAGAAACTTCAACAAGCATAAAATCTCTAGAGTGGAATGATTTTTCTTTATATTGTGATAAGTTACTATTTAATTCAGTCTAAACAAGGAATGACAACGTATTCAACAACACTAGTCAAACATTTCATAGCTGTGAAAATTGAATTATGCGCAAGGTTTGACATTTTTTTGTCATTTTTCTTCTAATCAAAAAATAAAGTATAGTTACTTCCAAGATTAAATAGATTAAATTTTCTTCATTAAAACAGCTAAATAAATAGCTGATATTATTCGATGCCTCCCTTCCCCTCCTTGCCTCCTCCCAGTGGCTCGGCGGAACATCTGAACGCTTATAAGGCTTGATAACGAGTTTCGTTACCGGTGGTGAATACAGCACAAATAGCCCATTGTATAGCTTTGTGCTTGACAACAAATAAACAAATATTGTTCGATTTTTATCAGTCTTCATTGTAGCCACCATTCTTGCACAAAGACACTGTTGTTTTGCAATGATCCAAGTTATAAATAGTGAGAACGTACCTTAGTAAAATAGCTTAAAACAATGTCAACATTATTTTAAAGCATGTTTTCACCATTCTTTTAAATTCAAGGGCAGTTAACTAGCCAACTGTAGATTCTACATTCAATTAACTCTTTATGCAGCTGAACATGTGACGTATTACTGCAGTCTCTCACAGCTTTATAAGTCCATTAGGTGCCCCGGGCTCCTAGTGGCTAAGCGGTGATTGTGAAGGCTTATATCACCAAAAACCGGGTTTCGATACCCGTGGTGGACACAGCACAAATAGCCCATTGTGCAAATTTTTGTGCCATTAATTGTTTTCCTATGAATTTATTTAAAACATTACGAAAAAGGGATCAAAATTTCTCATAAATATTATTTTTTATAGTAGAAATCAATGGTTTAAAAACGTATAGTTTAAACAACATTACTGGAGATAATTTGTTTATTTGTAGCTAAGCATAAAGCTACACAATGGGCTAGCAGTGCTCTGCCCATCACGGGTATCGAAACCAGGTTTTAGCGTTGTAAATCTGCAGACACACCGCTGTACCACTGGGGAGTCAGTTGAGATTTAATGCTTATTACTGATTTCTTGGAGAGAGAAAAAAATCCAGTAGTGTCGGCTGTAACATTCCGTGAAATTTTGTTTGGACCATTTATAGTTGGAAAAAAAAAATCTTGATAGTATACATCATTTTTGTTTTTCCGGATTTCTGCAAACAGCTGGTTCTCCACTGCCGAATTCTCTTCGTCAAGAACTTAAACCTGGCGGGAAACTTCTTGTTAAGAACGTGGAGCGTGCGTCTGACGAGGGAGAATACACGTGTACGGCGAAAAATAATAATGACCAAAGTGCAAGTGGAAAATTGTTTGTGTCAGTCAACGGTACGTGGCTGGTTTCTAGGTTAAAATATTTACGGTGTTGTTAGCTGTTCAAGCCAAAGCAGATATATTTAAACAAAAGGATAAAATTACATATCGGATTTATAATAATAAAAATAAATAATATTAGTTATATATATATGTATATATAGACTGGTAAGGAATATAATAGTTAGTCATCTATATAAAAATACATATTTCAAATTTCGTCTGCTAAGTACATCCTACTTGCGAAGGGATTTTCAATCTTCTTTTGAACATTTACTTACAAAAGAATTAAAAATTGGCTTGAGAATAACAAATTGATAAAGTGCAAAATTTAATTTCCTCAAAACCAAACGAAATTTAATTTCCTCAAAACCAAACAAAATTTAATTTCCTCAAAACCAAACAAAATTTAATTTCCTCAAAACCAAACAAAATTGACCAAAACGTGAGGTCGGTAGTGCGCTCGACTCGCAATCTGTGGGTCGCGGGTTCGAATCCCCGTCCCACCAAAACATGCTCGCCCTTTTCAGCCGTGGAGGCGTTATAATGTGACGGTCAAT